TGGCTGCCTCCTGCACGCCCCCTACTGAGGTTCGAGTCTGCAATCCAGACATATGCCCTTGACCGGAATCAAATCGAGGACACTTCAGTTCGCAGGCCAATGCTCTATCTACTGAGCCAGACCAGCTAGGGCATAACTTCCATATTGTTTTCTATAGCAGCTGTACCAATTTATAATCCCACCAACAGTGTACAAAGGTTTTCTTTTGTTCACATCCTTACCAACACTTGTTCAATAATTTTTTATTGAATGTATTGGGGTAACAGTGGTTAAAAAAATTATGTAGGTTTCAGGTGTACAGTTCTATAAGACATCATCTGTATATTGTACTGTGTGTTCACCACCCCAGGTCAAGTCTCTTTCCATCACCATATATCTCCCCTTAAGCCTCTTCTACCTCCCTCCACCTTCTTCCCCTCTGGTAATCACCATGCTGCTGTCTGTCTGAGTTGTTTTTTCTTAATCCCTTCACCTTTTTCACCCAGCCCCACAACCTCCCTCCCCTCTGACAGCTGTCGGTCTGTTCTCTATCTATGGGTTCCACTTGTTTATTTTGTTTTTTGGATAATAGCCACTCTAACAGGTGTGAGGTGATTTCATGTGGTTATTTTTCTATTACAGATACTTTATTTCAACTAGAAGGTACAGTCTCAGGGGTTTCATAGTTTAAAAAGCTACAATCAAAAAAATAAAAATAAATAAAAAGTTACAATTGGCCTGGCCACTGTGGCTCAATGGTTGAGCATTGACCTATGAATCAGGAGGTCAGGGTTCAATTCCTGGTTCAGGGCACATACAACCCAGTAGGGGACGTATAGGAGGCAGCCAGTCAGTGATTCTCATCATTGATGTTTCTATCTTTCCCTCTCCCTCTCCCTCTCTGAAATCAATAAAAATATAAAATAAAAGTGTGACAATCAGCTCTGGCTGGTGTGTTCAGTGGTTAGAGCGTTGGCCCACTCACCAGGAATTGAACCGGTAATTTCCTGGTTCATGGGTTGATTCTCAACCATTGAGCTACACTGGCTGGGCTGTATCTACTTTTTTTAAAAAAATATATTTTATTTTATTTTAAAATATATTTTATTGATCTTTCACAGAGAGGAAGGGAGAGGGGGAAGAGAGGAATAGAGAGTTAGAAACATCGATGAGAAACATCAATCAGCTGTCTCTTGCACTCTGTACTGGGAATGTGCTCGCAACCAAGGTACATGCCCTTGACTGGAATCGAGCCCGGGACCCTTCAGTCCACAGGCCGATGATGCTCTATCCACTGAACCAAACCAGTTAGGGCTGTATCTACTTTCTTAATGTCTTCTTTCCTCTTTTATGTAATTTTTGTTTTACATGGAGCACCATCAATAGAGTTGTTGATGGAAATATATCTATCTATATATTTTTGGAAATATTTTTATTTGCAGTTATCTCGCCTACTTTTACAACTGTACCTTTTTATGTTTGTTAGGACCAAAGATCAAAGCATGGCTAAGAGTTTTCAGTAGAAATGAAGTTACATCAGTTTGGGAGAATAGTTTCCAGATCATTACACTTTCTAGATTTAAAAAAAAAATATTTTTGATTACAGAGAGGATGGGAGAGGGAGAGAAACATCAATGATGAGAATCATTGATTGGCTGCCTCCTGCATGCCTCCTACTGAGGATCAAGCCCGCAACCCAGACATGTGTCCTTGACCGGAATTGAACCCAGGACCCTTTCAGTCTGCAGGCTGATGCTCTACCCACTGAGCAAAATCAACTAGGGCTACACTTTCTAGTTTTGTAGGAACATGGTTGGAGCCTTTCCTATTCCAGTAGGTTGGTAAAGATCATGGCAGGTATGGCCCATTTCCTATAAGCTTCGAGGGCCTTTGGCTACCTGGATGGCCTTGTTATTTCACTACCTGGATATACAGGGAAAGAATGCAACTTACATACAAGAACAATTAATTGGAGCCTTAGCTGGTTTGGCTCAGTGGATAGAGTGTCGGCCTGTAGACATAAGGGTCCCAGGTTCAATTCTCCCGGTCAGGGGCACGTACTTGGTTGCAGGCTCCTCCCTGGCCCTGGTCAGGGCTCATGCAGGAGGCAACCAATTGATGTGTTAGTTCTGTCTTTCCTTCTCTCTTCCACTCTCTCTAAAAAAGTCAATGGAAAAATATCCTCAGGTGAGGATTAAAAAAACAAACAAAAAGCAACAATCAAAAAAGAACAATTAATTGGAACAAAGGAAATCTTCTTTGGGTGCAGATTCCATAAAGACTGCAGAAATGTATATGATGTAAGCCAGGCAGTTCCATTTATAGCACTGTTTTTTTTGTGTGTGTGTTTTAAAAAAAGGTATCTTTATTGATTTCAGAGAGGAAGGGAGGAGAGATAGAAACATCAATGATGAGAATCATTGATTGGTTGCCTCCTGCCCCCATGGGAGATTGAACCTGCAACCCAGGTGTAGTCCTTGACTGGGAATTGAACCTGTGACTCTTTGTTTCATGGGCTGATGCTCTAACCACTGAGCACACCACCCAGGGCCATTGCCACTTACTATATCGTCTTTGGCTGCTTTTGTGCTATGATTGTGGAGTAGTTGTGGCAGAGAGTTTGGTCTGTGAGCTTAAACATTTATATTCTGGCCCTTTATTTGAAAATGACTGTGTTGGAGATCAAAGTTGATTTAAAAACTTCACATTTTATTTTATGGAATATGGTCATTAAGTTGAAGGCATGGAGCATAAGAGCTGTTCTGATATAGACTCTGAAGAAAAAGCCCACCTTCCCATAAGCACTTTTAATGACTAGATCATGATTCTGTACATAAGACATTTCATCCATCAGAGCTGAAGAT